CGGATGAGTGGATACGGAAAATGTGGTATATCTACACAATGGAATACTACTCAGCTATAAAAACAAATGAAATACTGCCATTTGCAACAACATGGATGGACCTTGAGAGAATAATATTGAGTGAAACGAGTCAGGCAGAGAAAAAGAAATACCACATGTTCTCACTCATTGGTGGGTGCTAAAAAATAAACAAATTAATTCACCCACATACACACACAAAAATAACCGGGGTGGGGGGGTGGGGTGGGGAAGAAGATATAACAACTATACTTTTATGAAGTTGTTACAACAAGCAAACGGAAAGGACATTCTTGGGGGGGAGGGGAGAGAGGGAGGAGGGAGGGAGGTTTCGGTGATGGGCCATAATAATCATATACAGTGTATATTGACAAAATAAAAATTTAACGAAAAAAATTTTTTTAAAAAGTAAATATATAGCGTACAATTCAGCTTTCTGAACTGAAGTATAAGGACTTTGAAGGACTTTATGGTTTACTGTGTCCGTATATCCTGCCAGGCCAAAATTGTTAGCATCTGTGAAGTAAGTTTTTGCGTTAGATATAGGAGAAAATGTAACACAATGAGGAAGAATCCAAGACGTTCTCTGCAGAAATTGAAGCATCTTATGAGAAGGATAGTGAGATGTAAAACTTCCTAAAAATTCACTAACAGCCAATTGCCACCGTATATTCAAAGCATACAAGGCTTGTATCTCATTGTGAGACAAAGGCAGTACAATAACACAAGGATCTTGACCAGTTAACTGACGGAAACGGAGCCGTCCTTTAGTAGTCAAAACAGAAATTTTATCTATATACGTTTTTAATGATTTAATAGTTTTATGCGGAAGAAAAAGCCATTCAATAATATTATCTTGTTGTAGTAACACACTGGTGGGTGAATGAGGTGTATGAAAAAATCACAAGTTGTAAATTTGTATAGTCAGTAATTCTTTGCAATTAAGCTTGTTGGATAATATTTTCCAATTGTAACTCAGATTTGGCTTCTTGGGATAACACTCAAGGGCTATTTAAGGTTAGATCACCCGTTAGTGTTGAAAATAAATGATGAAATGCATATGTTGGGATATTTAATGAAGGGCGAAGCCAATTTATATCTCCCAATAACTTCTGAAAATCATTTAAAGTCCGCAATGAATCTCTTTGAATTTGTACCTCTTGGGGAATAATGATTTGTTCAGTAATCTTTTGTCCTAAATAAGAAAAAGGAGGTTGTAATTGAATCTTATCCTCCGCAATTAAAAGACCAAAATCCTGAAGTGTGGCACAAATAATCTGTAACAATTTGGGGCAAGAAAAAGTTGGAGGCATAGCAATTAAAATATCATCCATATAATGAATAAATTTCAAATCTGGAAATTGAACCTGTAAAATCTCCGAGCTTGCTCATTACTAATTGTTCTTTAGACAGCAACATGAAGCCGGGCCAAAAAATCAGTATAGAGTTCATTAGGACCTTGCATTATCTTAACAAAAGTTTGGGGGGATTGTCCTGAGTCTTGAATCTGCTGCCAAGCCGTAAATCAAATTGTCTTTAATTGGGCAAGGGCAGCAGGGTTTATTTGACATTGCTGTTGAAGATCTGTCCAGGCACCAGTACCTGTAAGTTGTTTCACATCAGGCCCTTTATTACGCTGATAAGGGAGAGGCCATGGGTGGGGCACTGCAGGAATAGCAAGACACCCTTTTTGCTTTATCTCACCACCATGACTTAAACTGTATGTATTGAGGAGATTTTAAAGTCATATGAGCAAGCATTTCCCAATCTTTTGGGATAAGTAAATTGTCCTCAGCAAAAGACATTTAATGTCCAGTAACATAAGAGGAGGCAATACCATAACTACTGACAGCCTGCTTAAGTATCTTTAAATATTGAAAACTGACAGGATCATATTGCACTTGAAAAAATCCATTAGGAAATTCTTCACTAGGAGGCATTTCCTGTATTAAAATGGGAAAATTAAAAAATCTGTTAGGAGGCATGTCAAGAAGAGTCTTTTGGGGAGCCCCTGAATCAGCATCTAACATAACCTTTGTCATTTGAGGCGAATTTGGAAATTTAAAAATACGATGTGGAATGCCAGGGGCAGAAGCAGACAGAGGGATTGATTTCTGCTGTACAACAGGGAAAGCTTGCGCATCCTGTAAGCAAGCCTCCAATTTTTGAATAAGATCGTCCAAAACATCCAATTTTGGATCGTCAAGTGTCTTAGGTAATGGTGGGTATGATTTAGATTGAATCAGACATTTCTTTTCTAATTCAGGTTTTGCAATCTCAGTCTCATCATCAGAAAAATCAGAATGATCATCAGACTCTGAATTGGGCATGGGAGGGGCAGAAGGCTCAGGAGGAATCTCATATATATGTGAAGAAAAAATTTTCTTTTGTGGCTTTACTGAATCAGATTGAGAATACTGACTGCTGTCATCTGAATCAGATTGAAAAGGTTGCAAGGCTAAAGCCACCATGTTAAAAGCTGCCCATTCCTCTGCCAATATAACTTCTCCAGCCTGATGAGCTCTCCGTAAAGCTTTACCAACCTGTCTCCAAATTTTTAAATCAAATTGGTTCTTATTGTCTGGAGTAAACCAATAACAATGTTTCTGTATCTTTTTTAATAATGAAAGTAAAACCTTCTCTTTAATTTTTAATCCTGAAGCAGTCAACAATGATTTCAATACTGCCATATGATCACTTAACCCTGATGGGGCATTCCCCATTATGCCCCGACTCTAAATTTCCCGAAGAGATGACGTAACTCTTCGCCATCCATTTAATCCTCCTCGGTCCCATCCGTTCCCACATCTTACCTTTTGTGCCCCACGTTTGGGCGCCAGATGTTGATTAAAATGATCGGAGACACGAAAGAAGACGCAGCAGATGAGATGCAGGTGAAGAGCGGGGGGCTACTGCTCTCTCAGGCAAATAGCACCGACCCAGCCGCTGTTACAGCTTTTATTACATTTAGCAAGCTTGTGCATGCGAGATAAGCATTAATGCATAAATTCTGTTATACTATTCTCAAGAGCAGAAGGCCATTACCTCCCTTCTCAACCACTTGGTTATCTATATTGTGTCTTCTTGGAACATTCCAAGAAAGTGTTCTCACGACTTCAAGCGTTGCCAAGGATTGTTTGCAATCCTTGACATTCCTTGGCTAACTCATTTACGAGTTCACCAAGTAAACACGTCCTTGGGTGCTGTCTACAGAAGTCCATTAACCATTTCCTTCAATTTGTTTTCTCTGTTTCTCATTACTCTGATTTCTTTTTCCTGCCTTCTTGTGAGTTATTTAAACATTTTATTTATCTGTAGTGTTTTTGAGTGCATCCCTTGTATACCTTTTTTAGTGGTTTCTCTAGGTATTACATTATATATACATAACTTATCACGTTCTACTGTTTTCATCATTTTTCTATTTTGAGTGGAGTGTAGAAAACTTGTCTCCCATTAAGTAATCTGCTAAAATAGAAGTTGTGATTACTCTCTGACCATTTTGTGCTCCTTATGCAGTAGATAGGAGTCACTTTTCTAACTGGAATATTTTGATATTGATTACCATGAAGATTTATGGTTGCTATTACACAATTGGGACAGGAAATGATATATCTTAAACCTAGGGAATTCACTTAGCTATCTCTTAGTACTAATATGAACAATAATAAGTGAACAATTAATATTATTAGCAGTGAGCAATTTCAGTCACTATATTGCAAAAAGAGCAGAATAACTAAGGACACAAGCCTTCATGAACGCAAGTCTAAGTTATCCTACCAAGCATCAAGAAAGACCTGCTAAAGTGATAGCCTAGGTGAGGGAAATATAGAATGTGTAGTGGACAGTGGAGATGACAATCTTCATTTATATCCTTGGGACAAGCTACAGCAGTGGAGACTATATCTTGCTTCACTACACTTATACTTAAATCTTTCCAGATCATAACTGACCACTACCTTGAAGAGAATTCGGAATTATAAAATATATACCCACCCTATTTAGAAAGAAATGAGGCCGATCTTATTTTAACCGCAACATATGGAGGCCCCCATATTATAGGATGTGAGCTGAATAAAATGGGAAACTCCAAACTCATCTGAGTAACATAATGCATGGATTGCATTGAACACAAACCTTGTGCACATCTTCAGGTTCTCTTGACTAACTCCTTTCTGAAGGCATCGCCTGCCTCCTGGACTATATCAGTGCTACTGACTACCATATCCCTAATGGATTGGGATGTTGCTACTCAGCACAAGGAGGCAAAAATGTGTATGTGCTCCACCAGCATCTTTTCCAAACACCCCAACATGGCTGGACTCTCAAAATGGCAGGAATCCCAGTACTACATGGGCTGTAGGCAGATACACAAACATAACATTCACAATCAGCCATGACTTATACAGATGAGGAAGATGAGAGAACACTTAATAGTGACCTATTTAACTTAAATTTACTTATTATATCTTCTCATTATAAATTGCTTGTAAATCTTTTTACTAAAAATAACATAGATCACATATATATTATTGAAAGCTTTGTTCTAATATATGGAAATATTTTTGATTCATAACCTTAAGACAATAAGTGTCTTGTAATTTTCGATTCTTATAGGAAAAATAATACATGTTCACTTAAAGAGGTAAACTCTTTGCCATCTGATATTGACTTCACTTGTTAATATTTTATCATTAATCCTCCTTCCATGACCTCACTGATCAAATTTTGACAAACTCGCATAAAAGGCTGCACAGTAAAATAAATGAAAATAAGTAAAATAAACGAGCAAATAAGCAAGTCTTAACAGATTAAAGCACAAAGATAAATCTTGATTTTCCTCAACAATTCCAAACTCGTAGTGGGGAGACAGAGAGGGGAGTGGTGATAAGGCACATTGAAGATCCTGAAATGAGACCCTTGAGGTAGAAATTTCTGTGAAGCCCCTCACCAGAGAGGAAGGGGGACACCTTCAGTTTGCAAAGTCACTGGCCCCACAAGCAGGAGACTTTGCCTCTGAGAAGTCTGACCAGTGCACCCTTCATGTCCTTATTCCGCAGGCTGTAAATGAAGGGGTTCAGTAGAGGAGTCACCACTGTGTACATGACCACAGCTGCCGTATCTTCCTCTACTGAGTTGAAGGAAGAGGACGAGGGGCACAGATAAGCCCTGATCACCGTCCCAAAGAACAGGGCAACAACAGCGAAGTGGGACCCACAGGTTGAGAAGGCCTTGAGCCTTCCCTGGGCAGAGCGGACTCTGAGGACGGCTGACACAATGTGGATGTAAGAGACCAGAATGAGTATAAAGGGGATTAAAATTACTGCACCCCCCAAGAAGATGAGCACAAGCTCATTTATGTGGGTGTCTGAGCACGACACCTTCATCAGGGGTCCCAGATCACAGAAGAAGTCAGGAATGATCTTCTTAGAGCAGAAGGAAAGCCGGAACATGAGGAAGGTGTGAGTCATGGCAACAAGACTTGTAAGAGTCCAGCAGGCAGTCACCATGAGAATGCAGCGCCGGAGGCTCATGATCGTCGGGTAGTGGAGAGGGTGGCAAATGGCCACGTAGCGGTCGTAGGCCATTGTGGCCAGAAGAAAGATGTCCATGTCCCCAAATGTCAAGAAGAAGTAGAGCTGAGCCAAGCATCCTGCGTAGGAAATGGACCTGTTCTGGGTCTGGATGTTCGCCAGGGCTTTAGGCACAGTGGTGGAGGTGAAAAGGATGTCTGCACAGGACAGACTGGCGAGGAAGAAGTACATGGGGGTGTGGAGATGTGTGTCAGCGCCGATGGCCAGGATAATGAGCAGGTTCCCAGCCACAGTGACCACATACATCCATAGGAACAACAGGAAGAGGAAGTGCTGCTGCTCTGGCTGCTCTGAGAGTCCCCAGAGGAGGAAATCGAAGCTGTTGGTCTGATTCCGTCCTTCCATGAGCCCAGAGGTCAGAGAAAAAGATCTTGAGTGATCCCCATTAAAATTCTGTACAAATATTTCACTTTAGATGAAATTTAATTCCATTTAATTCAGTTCAATTCTGCAAACATTTATGTCTTCTCACCTGCTGTACATGCATCTTGACTTCTGTTTAGTACAAGGGGAAGTGCATTCTGTATATTTTATCTGCATAAACACCATTGGGATGGATGGAGTGGAGTGTTAACTATTGATGGGTGGTGAGGACTCAGTGACAGGGAAAAGTTCTAAACTTAATTTTATCAAACAACAGATAAAACTTTTAGAAGCTGTCTGGATCCTTTCAAATGATGCAAAAGTATGCATCTGCAAAGAAAGAATAAAAAATGCAAAGAGAACTAGGTTAAAAAGGATACAGTGGAATAATTTGTGTGTGAATTAATTATTTGAGACTAAGCCATGCTCACCTAGATCCTGATTTTCCCGTTTCTCCAGCCTGGAAATGAATGCATGTAAACACCCTGAATCAGCACAATCAATGTGGAAAGCAGAGGCCAAGTAGCAAAGCAGGTGAGTACAGCAGGCAATAATGTAGAATGGCAGAATCTACACATCCTCAGCTAATATTCCTGCCTAGAAAAAGAGGACTTTACTCTGAGTGAGAAAACAAGGCAAGATATAATGCTGGACAAGGTGAAGAAAACAGGTGAGGGAGTTGTACAGAGAAACATCACTCAATAAAGCAACCTCCATCATCGTAGTGACAGAAGGAGTCTTTGAATTGAGAATTTGAGCAAGGTACTCAATCTTGCTAAACCTCTGATCCAGAAAAAGGCAAAGTGTTCAAGTGTGAATAATAACTGATGGTTAAATTTCTGGACCTATACAGAAATATCATAAAAAAGAAAGCCTGAAAATCCAAGCTTTTCATCAGCAGAGAACTCACAAGCAAATTGTCCCTGTTGAGAAATATTCTAATACAATGTATCTTCAAGATCTTCAGAATCTAATGAAACAATTAGATTTGTGAAAGAATAACACAAAGGTGAATAAAGAAACTCAGAGAAGATATGTCCAGACCACAAGAACAATGGGAAATAGGAACTGAGAAAAATATAAAAAGAAATTAAAGAAAAAGTCATTTTTTCAATGAAGACTAAATTACAAAGATGTTAACGGAAAATGGACAATACAGAAATCTTTAGGAGAGAATTAAAGGGTAGAAATCAGAAAGGCAAAAGAAACAAAAGAAAGAATGAGGTAAAAGAGTTAGAGAAAAAGAAATGGATAGAAGACAGACCAAGGAGATCCAGTACAGGAAAACTAAACTTTGGAATGGAAGAATATTTAAATTATAATTTAAATAAATTTCCCAGAAATAAAATGTGTCCTTTCTCTACATATTGAAAAGTCATATTTCATACCTGAGAAAATTGGCAAAAAATAATCAATTTTAAAAATAACTCAGTAAATTTATTAGACCTTTAAAATAAACAAGAATCCTTTGGGTAAACAGCTCCTCCTTCACCACCAAAAAAAAAAAAAAAAGAAAGAAAGAAGGAAAGATAGAAAGGAAGGAAGGAAGGAAGGAAAGAAACGATGGAAGGAAGGAAGGAAAGAAGGAATGAAGAAAGGAAGGAGGGAAGAAAAGGCCACAATAATGCGTTGAACTTTCAGAAGCAGAGAACATCAGTAAATTTATTAGACCTTTAAAATAAACAAGAATCCTTTGGGTAAACAGCTCCTCCTTCACCACCAAAAAAAAAAAAAAAAGAAAGAAAGAAGGAAAGAAAGAAAGGAAGGAAGGAAGGAAGGAAGGAAGGAAGGAAGGAAGGAAGGAAGGAAGGAAGGAAGGAAGGAAGCAATCAGGTCAAAATCAGTCTTGATAGCACATTCAATGCCAGAAGATAATAAAAGAATGCCTACAAGAAACTAGAATTTTATACCAGCCAATCTGTACTTTAAGTATAAGGGATACAAGAAAAGAGTTTTGAACATAAAGAAACTCTGGGATTATTATTTCCATGAGCACTTCCTCAGGAATCTACTAGAAGATGAGCTTCACATAACCAAGAAAAGGTTGGAGTGACCTCAGCAAAAAGACTAGTGAAAGCATTGAATATATATTTGCTATAGAACTAAGACCAGAATGTGAAGCTAAAGGCGACATAACAGTATATAAATGTAATATATGCTAATAATGTGGAAATAACTAACCAATAAATGGCAGAAGGAGGAAGAAAGTAGAAAGTATAATAAGTTCCTGATCATCTCTTGGGAACGCTTAGGAGAAAAGGAATATCATATTAAGCAGATAAGTCAAATAGTAGAAGTTTAGACCTTTTAATAAGACAAAGATAAACTAAGAAAGATAATACTATTTATAAAATAGTAATATTGGATGGTGAAAAAGAGGAAAGGGAGGCAAGAAGAAAAGTTACAAGTTAATTTTATTATTGTTTATACTAAGAAACAAAATATATTGCTTAGACAAAGAGGGGACAAAAGGTGCTGTGCTAAGGCGTTAGCATAATGAAAACTTCCTATGACCAGAGAGAGAACTACAGACCATATACTAAAGGGCATTAAGTAATATGACAGACCTAGGCCTAATATATCAGTTATCTTAATAAATGTACATGCTTAATGGACTTTTTAAAAGAAAAACATTTTAAATTAACTCACAAAGCAAAATCCATCTCTATTCTGTATATAAGAAAAATAGCTAAAATAAAGTAATTCGGAATGGTTGAAAATGAAATGATGGGCACATAGGAGGCTAATGTGAACAAAACAACGTGATCTTTACATCAGCAAAGGCAGAACTCAGGACAGAAAGCATTAAGCAATATGCAGACTGCTTTACAATAATAAAATCTCCATTCACAATGAGAGTCTAAAAAATCTAATATCTCCCATATCTGAGCACCAAATAAAACAGCAGAAAGTTGGCCGGCCTGGTGGCACATTGGATAGTGCACCGCTTGGGAAGCGTGGTGGCGCTCCCGCCCGAGGGTTCGGATCCCACATACAGACCGGTTCCCGCTCACTGGCTGAGCGAGGCGCGGGAGCGACGCGGAGGGTTGCAGTCCCGTTGCCGGTCCCCGGTTCGGTGCAGGGGCAACACTGAGGGTTGTGATCCATTGCCGGACACGGAAAAAGACAAAAGACAAAAAAAAAAAAAAAAAAACAGCAGAAAGTTTCTTGAACTATAGAGATAAAAGAAAAAATATAAGCACATTAATAAAAGAAACTTAAGTAAACTTTAGTCAATCCGAGTCAGATCTAGTGATTAAAAAGTAAGTATAGAGAATACTAAACAAAGTAAGACGTGTGAATATGTGTGTGTGCCATGTATGTGTATCACTGTGTTACAATAATAATGAATGTACATCACTTTCAAGTTCCTATTAAACATATAGAAAAAATACAGTATAGAAATCCAAGATAAAACTCAAATAAATTCCAAAAAGTGGCAATAATTCAACTAATGATCTCTGACATAAACACAATAAAAATTAATTAAAGAAAAAATGAAAATGGGCTTTCAACCTGGAAAAAAATATTTAAATATCTTTATTAAATAACACTTGGATCCAAAAGAGACATAAAGATCTAAACTTCAGAATTTTTAGAAATTATCAGCAACAATAATAATGTTACATATCAGAATCCATGGAATATTGTTAACATAATAATCAAAAGAAAATTCATTGCCTTAGATACTCATGTGAAAAACAATAAAGATAAAATATATAATTTAAGCATCAAACACAAAAAGGATAACAGAGATAAACTGAAGGAAGGCAGGAAAGGACAGGAAGGAAAAACTTTAAAGCAAAAATTGAATAAGAAATCAGAAAACAAAGTTTTTTTAAAAAAGCAGTTCATTGGTCTTTTCAGAAAATGGTGCTGGGACAACTGAATATCCACACACCAAAGAATGAATTGAAATCTCCTACCTCAAACCATATATACAATTAACTCAGAGTGGATCAAAGGCTAAGAACAGTTTGGGGGACAACTGAAGAAACTTGAATATGGATCAGTAATACACAATAATAAAGAATTATTATTAATTGGGTTGGTGTGGAAATGCTCTTTTGGGCAAGTGGACAAGGGTTTGTAGAGATGTAGGCTGAATATGCAGGAGTGTAATGCCATACTAATTATAATTTACTTTAAATTGATTCAGCATTAAAATGTTAATCTATAAAACCAACATAGGGTGTGGGTAATATTAACATGGATGCTGCAGAAATGATCATCCATTTTGTAGAGTACAAACTTAAGATTTTCTTAAAAATTTCAGATGAAAGAGACAAAGAGATAAAAGCAATGTGAAAAGAAATGATACTTATAGGAAATATAGGACCAAGATCCTATTCAAAATTTTGAGAAACCCCAAAGGAAGGAACAAATCAAAATTTTAGAGCCTGACTCATTTTGTACTAAAATGAGTCCTGAATTTGGAAATCAAAATGGTTCTCAGAATTCTGCATATAATCATCAAAGGATAAAAGACCTGTAAATGTACGTATCCTGGAGTGTTAAATTTCAAAGATAAATATTCATCAAACTCTACTCAATATTAATCAACATATATTGAGAGCTTATTGTCCAGGATGCTTTCCAAAGTTCCTTACCTGTAGTATCTTATTTCACCTTCTCGATACACAGTAAGAAAGAAACTATTTATTATCTCCATTTACAGGTGAGGAAATTGATGTTCAGAGAAGTTACTTAAAAATTACTTGCCTAGGGAGTTCCGGTCAAGATGGTGGAATAGATGGTTCCCAGCGTCACTCTCTCCCACAAGTCAACCAATTTACAACTATAAAAATGGAACATCAGCCAAGTTGGAGCCACTGGAGCTCAGGGGAAGAGGAGGAGAGACCTACGGAGTTCATGAAGGTGGATGAAACCAAGATGAGAGAAAGAAAAACTGCTCTCAGCATTTCGGGCAGCAGCTGCTTTAAGGCTGGATCTGATGAGCACATGGAGCAGGAGCCGGGAGA